AATGATGTCAGACAGCTCTTCTGGTTTCCCCTCATCATTGGACATACCACAAGACCCAAGATGGGGAAAAAGTTCAAACCCCCCTCTGTCAGCTTCTCCTGAGTACATAGAAAGTGTGGGGACAACTCAGCCCTAGACCTTCCCTCTTCTCCTCAAAACAGCCCAAAAGCACCCTAACCTCCTCCTTCCCTCAACTCCCCAGATCCCTTTAGTTCCCTGCACCCCACAAAGCCTACTTCCCCTCCATGTCACTGACACAGATGTCAAAGTAGTCCTCTGACTGAAGCTACCGAACAGGGGCATTTCTTCCTTCTGGTGCCACCACCAAGGACATTTTTTCCTTCCAGTGGTACGTCTGTCGCTGGGACATTTTTTCTTTCTGGTGCCATCACCAATGTAGGGATTTTTTTTCCTTTTAGTGACACCACCATTGCAGGAGCATTTTTACCTTCCAGTGAGACCACTGACGCAGTGACATTTTTTCCTTCCAGTGACAGCACTGGTGTTTGTGTATTTTATCCTTTTAGTGATACCAATGTAGGGATTTGTTTTCTTTCAGTGACACAACCAATGCAGGAGCATTTTTCCCTTCCAGTGAAACCACTAATGCAAAGATTTTTTTTTTCCTCCTGGTGACAGCACTAACCCAGAGACATTTTTCCTTTCAATGACACCACCAAGGCAAAGATATTCTTTTCCTTCTTGTGACAGCACTAACACCGGGGCATTTGTTCCTTTCAATGACACCCCTGACACAGGACATTTTTTCCTTCCAGTGACACCACTTACACTGGGGTATTATGTCTTATGTCACCGACGTGGGTGCATGTTTTCCTTCCAATAACACCACCAATGTAAAGATATTTTATGTCCTTCTGGTGACACCACTATCACAGGGACATTTTTCCTTTTGATGACACCACTGAAGCAGTGGTATTTTCTTCCTTCCAGTAACCCCACTGAGGGAAGGACATTTTTCCTTCCAGTGACCCCACCGAGACAAGGGAATGTTTCCTTTCCAGTACTCCATCAATGCAGGGAAATTTTTTCTTTCCAGTGTCACCACCAATGAAGGGACATTTTTACATTCCAGTGACACCACCAATGCAAGACCATTTTTATCTTTAGTGACACCACCAATGCAGGGACATTTTTTTCTTTCCATGACACCACTGATGCAGAGGCATGTTTTTCCTTCCTCTATGTTAGCCCCATATTTCTGCACCAGTTTTAAACTGAGACTAAGAGAATCCATAACGCTCCATAACTAAGACAATCCTTAATGCTCTACTCTCATAGACATCTGTTGCTGATCACTCAAGGAAAACCAAAGAAGAACGCAGAGGTTCCATCACAGGGGTCCTCCTGTGAATGCCAAAGATCCCAAACCTTATTATGTCTTTCCACAATATTCGTAAGGCATGCTGTTCGGGATTCCAAAAATTCCACATCCTTAATCCTAGAGTATAATTCTACAAAGAAGGGTGGGGCATTGAAGATATGACGTTCTGATTTTTGAGCAGTTGTAGACGGTCTAGGTGGAAGCAGGCCTAATAAAAATACATTAGGGAGGAAAAGGAAATCTAGGTCAAACAGACATTGAAGAGGATGATGACCATCTTCCAATATGGTTCAAGATGTGGACAATGCCAGTAGATTCGTGACTGCTGCCCCTCTCTGCCAGTCTCTCCACTGGCTTCCCCCACCCCATTGTATAAAATTCAAAATGCTAACCACAACATGCAAGACCATCCGCAACATCACCCCCAGCTACATCACCAGCCTCTTCTGAAGATATCAACCAAATTGTCCTCTCCGCTCCTCCCAAAACCTCCTGCTCTCTAACTCCCTTGTTACCTCCTCCCACGCTTGCTTCCAGGACGTCTCCAGAGCCTCTCCCATCCTCTGGAATTCCCTGCCCCAGTATATCCAGTCAGCTCCTAAAATGTCTCCCTTGAAAACTCATTTATTCAGGGAAATCTACCTCACCTCCACCGAGAACTGTACTTCAGTCACCTCCATCAGAACATCCCCTGCAGCTGATACCTTTTGTACCACTTCATCTTCCCTTTATATTGTAAACTCTGTGAGCAGGGCCATCCTATTCCTTCTGTATTGAACTGTACTGTAATTGTACTGTCCCCCTTTGTATTGTAAAGATCTGCGTATACTATTGGCTCTATATAAATCCTGCATTATAATAATAATAGATGTGTAACAAGGTGCTCCGGTCTCTGCGACATCTCCAACAGCGATCTGTAGCAGTAGGATAAATAGATCGCAGACACGAAGGTGTTAAATACCAAAATTAATATAAAATATAGGTGGGTGTATTCTCATAAATGCCACGTCCCTTAAATATAACCTGAAAACTAACAAAAAAAACCCAATGGTACTTTGAAGGCACTACATACCAGAAATTAGATAAAAGATTGTTTATGATCTTTATCGTTACAATGTTGCTGTCAGAGCCTGGGTCCGAACCTGGGCCTTCTGCGATCTGTGGCAATGTTTCTTCTTGCTGAGCCACCTGGAATGCTGGACAGCTTTATTAACAATTATTTGGATGATCCTACCTTGACCTTGTTTGTCATGAACCTTGAACTCCTTGCTCCTCCCATGAACTTCCTGATATAAGCCATGTCTCTGCACTTCCGGTTTGCCATATTATTGTGCTCTCCAGCCAGTATCTTGCTCCTTGTGACCTCTGTTATTATCCATATTTTGCTACCACTCGTTATTGACCCTTGGCTTGTTCTCGACTACGCTTCTGCCTGATCCCAACCTGCGACTGCTCATTACCGATCTTGGCTTGTTTACTGACCACACTTCCATTTGATTCTTACCTGCTTATACGCTACTGGACCTCCGCTTACTCACCTCCTGGTGGGATGATCCAGAGGACCGAGACCTGGTGCTAACATGCAGCAAAATCCATCTCCACCATCAGGAGCTCTTGTGAACACCGGTCGGTACTTAGACTCTGCACCTTGGGTGATCCTACTCCTCCGCCACGGTGACCTGCCTGTGTACCTATCCTGCTGCTTTCAGGTGAGCCTTTCTACTGCTATAGCAACTGGTCTTCGAGCCTGACCCCTGATCGTGATCGTTGCATAAAAACATCAAAAGGCTTACAAATCAGATCTATTACATTACATGTAGTAGCTCTCAATGATATACATAGACCAGACGCATAGCTCCATTCCTCTGATGCGTTTCAGAGATACAACACTCTTTCTTCAGGGGTTATAAGATGTACAGTCTCTAGAACATAATAATATTAACAATGATACAAATAAACATTGCATTTATATACAAAGTATCATTCCTCAACAGGCAACTTACTAATTAGAGAGCCTTTTCTTTGATCAAATGCAGCCATATTTAAAAAAACAAATGGTTGCTGCCAGACTGCACCAGTATTCTCCTTACAAAGTGTACAAATGGAACTCTTGACAGCTTTTTATAAGCACTGCCCACATCTAAGGTGGCCATCTGTACAATCAGGGCAAACTTGTCCCTGATGACACCTGCGGAGTAAGGTTGCCACCTCATCTCTTTAAACCTGAACACACATTAATTGCACAGGTTCTGAGGCTAATTTAATGCAGATAAAGCACTGAGTGAGTTTAATTACCACCTTAAACTTGGTTCACACTGCCGCGACTTGGGATCCAACTTGTGAGATCCCAAGTCACATGACATGTGAAATCCCATGAAAGAAGTCTTAATTAGCACTACTGAAGTCGCTCCGACTTTAAAAAAGGTTCCTGTACTACTTCAAGGCAACTTCTATCCAACTTGTGTCCATAAACTTTAATGGATGGCTTCTCCAAGTCAGATCCTCATCTTATATTGATGTTATTTGGATCCAAAATTACAGGAAGATTAGTCGCATCAAAGTTGCTTCAAAGTCGCATCAAAGTAGTGCACAACTTTCAGGTCGCATTAGTGTAAACCAAGACTTAATCAGCCACAGAACCTGTGTAATTTAATATATGTTCAGGTATGAGGCGGCAACCCTGCTATGGAGGCCTCAGAAGAACCTGGTTTCCCCCCTTGTCCTCCACCTTCCCTACACGGCGGCCGCTTAACAGCGTCACCCTTTCAAGGAAGCTAAACTGCATCTGCCTACAAGCTTGATACTTGTACCACTTTTATACCTACAGTCATATGAAAATGTACCTATTGATTGTAGTTCTGTCTTTGTGATCTAGAAACTAGAAATAAAAAAACCTATACAGAGATATCACAGGCCAGCCGGATGGACAGCTCATTCTAAGCCGAGGTTAAGGTGTTAAATTGGCAGCTTTTAGCATCACTAGTAAAAGTGCTGAATGGCGGCAGTGGTTTATTTACGGGTCCATGTTATTGAAATGCCCTGTGCTTTATGGACAAACAGAAGCAGGGTCAGCATGGCATCCACAGACGCAGATACACCCCTCTTTCTATTGTACTGATCCTTTACTGACAGGGGCCTGACAAGCCTGCCAACAAAGGCATCCTGTCAGACAGCGGCCTTTAAGGATAATAGACGTGTGTGCAGGAGACGGAGACAGCAGGGGCCACAGGTCACTGGAAGAGCTCTTATCTCCTGATCTGTGCAGGCCTTCAGCTTGGTTCAATGCCCTCCACCCATTGTGGAAAACACACACGGGCCCCTAGATATACAATGGAACCGTGTCACCGAGATAGCTGTATATAACACTGAAATATATTCTGCGCTCTCATCAGTGTTACACAGGATATGATTAATAATAATGACTTTATTTAATCTAGAGCTTTTCACTTACAGCCCCTAAGTGCTTTTACGTTAGTAAAGCTTCAGGCCGCCATTGTGGTCCATTGAATATTCAGCTCATAAAGCATTTGCCTCCACGCTACAGAAATTAAAATCTAATATCCATGCTTGGGAATGCGGTTAAAGCAGAGTTTCTCAACCTTTTTTCAGTCAAGGCACCCTTTGAAATTATAGACAGTCCCGAGGCACCCTAAAAAATTATGGATCGTCTTGAGGCACCCTATAAAATTATGGACAGTCTTGAGGCATCCTATAAAATTATGGATAGTCTTGAGGCACCCTATAAAATTATGGACAGTCTTGAGGCATCCTATAAAGTTATGAACAGTCTTGAGGCATCCTATAAAGTTATGGACAGTCCCGAGGCACCCTATAAAATTATGGATAGCCTTGAGGCACCCTATAAAATATGGACAGTCTTGAGGCACCCTATAAAGTTATGGATAGCCTTGAGGCACCCTATAAAATTATGGATAGCCTTGAGGCACCCTTTGAAATTATGGACAGTCCCGAGGCACCCTTTAAAATTATAGATAGTCCCGAGGCACCCTACGAAATTATGGACAGTCTTGAGGCACCCCATTCTAAAATGTGAAAAACTTCTAATAGTTTTTTATAATGTAGCAACATCCACACATGTAGGACACCAAACGTTAGAGATGATTTATTCTTCCAAAGCAAATACACTTTTATGCACTGGTACTGGCATTGAGTAGTATACCATGGTTTCCCTTTTCCTTCCCTAGGATGCTTTGCTGGTAGTGGACATACTCCTTATCACCTGATGATGTCATTAGTTGTTAGGACGCCAGCGGCTAGAAGGTTGTAATGGTGCACAATGAAAACCTGTGGCTTTGTGCAGCTAAAAGACGACAGACTTGTTCCACCCACTGGCTTGTGTACAAGTTTTGGGCAATTTTTAGACATTTTTGCCAAGGCACCCCAGGGTAAAGGGAACTCTTAAGGCGTCAGCATACCAAGACATTTTGGACAATTTCATGCCCCCAACTTTGTGGGAAGAGTTTGGGGATAGCCCCTTCCTGTTCCAACATGATTATGGACCTTGCTTTGTGGACTGGTGCACAAAGACATGGATGAACTAGTTTTGGGGTGAACTTGACTGGCCTGCACAGAGTCCTGACCTTGACCTGATAGAACACCTTTGGGATGAATTAGAGCAGGGACTGCGAGCCAGGCCTTCTCATCCAACATCAGTGCCTGACCACACAAATGTCCTTCTGGAAGAATGGTCAAATCTTCCCATAGACACCCTCCTAAACCTTGTGGACAGCCTTCCCAGAAGAGTTGAAGCTGTTATAGCTGCAAAGGGTGGGCCAACTCAATATTGAACCCTATGGACTAAGACTGGGATGCCAGTAAAGTTCATGTACGTGTAAAGGCAGGCAGGCCGACCAATACTTTTGGCAATATATTGTATATGCGGTGCAGTAAACTCGTCGCATCCTGTGCATTTCCTGCACCGCATTGAATTTGCACCTTGTTCATGTGATCTGCTGCAGGTGTCAATGTTAAATTAACTGCACTCTAGCACCCTGGTCACATCAAAGCCAATTTTGAAATTGCGCAGCTTACAGTGAAGTCGCATGATTTCAAAGTCAGGTGACTTGCCAATTTGAGGTGCGATTTGCAAGACAACTGACACAAATGTCTATACAAATCGCACCAAAAGTAATGCATGTACTTTAGAAATCAGTGCAGCTCCGACCAAGTCGGAACCGCATCGATATGCCTGCTCTAATAGCAGATAATAGGGTGCGACTTGGCATCTGATTTGCAAGTCGCACCCGATGTGACCAGGGTGTAAAACAGGTTGCAAAATGCAATGCAATTACCAGAATCTGATTATGGTGAGGGGAAAAAAGTTGTCTGTACCTTTTTCGTGTGTGCGGTGTGATATGAGCCCATACAAAATTAATGGGCTTAAATCGCACCAGAATCGCATGTGATTTTAATTGAGGAATTGCTGTCCGAATCACATGCGGTTCTCCACACCACACCAGTTTGAACCTAGGCACCTCCAACGCAGTGCGATTTTGCTGCACGACAGACTTGTGGCAAAATGCATCGCATGAAGCTCATCGCCCAAAAAGGAGCAGGAGCTTCCGTTGAGCGACAAGCTTTGCATTTTGCTGCAATTGCTGTGCGATTCTGTCAGACGACAGTCATTTTAAAATCACACACCGCTTTTAGGTGCCATTAAAAATGAATAGTACCCAAACACGCTTGGCACATTTTGCCAGGATTGCAGTGCTGAGATTCCAGCTGTGATCACAAATTGCAAGATGTGAAAGGGACCTTAAGTGGGACAGCAGGGAAGCAATAGATGCTGATTCACTTGTTTTTTGCTACCAGAGTTGCGTTTACGTGTGATGCATTTATGCGATTTTGCGTTGCAGAAAAAATTCAGTGTGCTGTAATTTTTTTTTTTTTTTTTTAAAACAACGTGGATTTTGGACTATCTATGCAGTGGTAATGCATCAGAAACGTATCCCTCTGCATTTTGTGTGAGGGCAGTTTACACCACATTTTCTGCGTACCAGATGTGTTTCTGCATGTGTGTTTACATGCATTTTTAATTTTTGCATTTTTGATGTGTTCCGATGCATTTTTTCCTGTCTTTTTGTGTTCATCCTAATAAAAATCCAGTGCACGTTTTATGTGTTTTGGTGCATTCCAGTGTGTTTGTATTGCATTTTGCCTTATTCCAGATACATTCCCATGCCGAACAGGTTCTGCTGTTGTTGACTGTACTGGAATGCACTGCAATGGTAAGGACTATGCCATTGGAATCCATGTAATCTACTGTCCATGCGTTTTTAATACAGAAGAAAAAAAATGTACCGGACTACATGTGGTGTGATCTGACCCTGATTGGGCCCATAAAGTGAACTGGTCGTGTTGTAATAAATAGATGATTTTTTTCACCATTTTTTGTTTTTTTTCCCTCTTTTTGTCTTCATCTTAATAAGCTTCCAATACATTTTTTATTTGTTCCGGTGCATTTTTGACGTGTTTCAGTGCATTTTTATGCATTTTGGTGCATTCCAGTGTGTTTTTATTGCGTTTTGCCACATTCCAGATACATTCCCATGCAGAAAAGATGCAGCAGGTTCTGCTTTTATTGACTGTACTGGAATGCACTGCAATGGTTATGTCATTGGAATCCATGTAACCTACTCTCCGTGCATTTTTGATGCTGAAAAAAATAAACGTACTGCATGTGGTGTGAACTGGCCCTGATTGGGCCCATATGGGCAGCACAGTGGCTATGGGAAGCAATGGCTAAATGGTTAGCACTTCTGCCTGGCAGCACTAGGTTTGTTGGTTTGAATCCCAGCCACGGCACCACCTGCCTGGAGTTTGCATGTTCTCCCTGTGCCTGCGTGGGTTTCCTCTGGGTACTCTGGTTTCCTCTCTCACTCCAAAGACATGCTGGTAGGTTAATTGGATCCTGTCTAAATTGGCCCTAGTATGTGTATGTATGAATGTGAGTTAGGGACCTTAGATTGTACACTCCTTGAGGGTTAGGGACTGATGTGAATGTACAATATATATGTAAAGCACTGCGTAAATTGACGGCGCTATATAAGTACCTGAAATAAATAAAGTGAACTGGTCGTGTTGTTATAACTATAATCCTGCAATAGAGGAGTGCAGTGAAGCTATAGATGCTGATGTGCATTTGCATAGAATTTTTGCTAAGCATTTTTGGAATGGGGAACAAGACTTGGTTGTGTTTGTGACATGCGTTTACATGCATTTGAGTTGTGGAAAACTGCAACCTTTTTTACCCAACATGGATTTGGGACTGAATTATTACTAAGAATTTTTGTATTTCAATAGTTTTTATTAGTTTTAATCAGTATAAAACAGAGGCGACAAAACATGCCCCCACAGGGGCTATCAATTGCACCGATAAGATAAAAAACATAAAAAAAGAAAAACAGTGCTCTAACTTCAACAAGGCAGAAGGTACGCCCACGCAGGGGCTATCAATGGCACATAGGTTACAATGACGGTAATGAAATTCTAACTGCAATTAAAGGCAGCTGTCCACTATCACCCAAAAAACTAACAGAAATGGACAGAAAGAAAGAGAAGAGAAATAAGAGAAAAAAAAAAAAAAAAGGGAGAAGAGGGGGGCAGAGATCCAAGAGCGCCACCATCAAACGCCAGTGCCTAACGCCATTACATCCCCATACTAGCCAAAGGAAGCGTGGGAAAGGCATATTGCAACCATGGTTCCCATATTTTCAAGAATTTACATTGGGAGTCGTTGCATATGCTCGACATCTGTTCATTAAGCATCATATTGGTCATACGATCCCGCACCCCCTGAAAAGGGACAAACGGACTCTTCCAGACCTGAGCAATTGTTCTGGTGGCCGACAAAAACAAATAGGACGGCAGCTTCTGCTGATGAGCCAAGAGACCCGGTATGGGGCAATGATGCAAGGCATACCGAGCATCCCGGCGTATGGATAGATGAAACAACGTGAAAAGGAGGCCAAATACACGAGACCAAAAACGGACCAGTCTCGGGCATGACCACCAGGTATGCAAGACATCGCCACGATGGCCACAACCCCGGAAACATTGATCACTACAAGCGGGATTAGCCTGGGCCAAACGAGCCGGAACCCAATACCAACGAAACAATACCTTATAGGCTGCCTCCAGCGTGGTGGGTATTGAATGAGCATTTAGCTATGAGTGACCAGGCCCTATTCCAGTCCTCCGGATCCACATCCACTCCCAGGTCACGCTCCCACTGAACAACATATGAAAGAGAAGTATGCGACGAGCGTCTGTTCAAGGATGCATAAAGAAGGAAGATAAGGCCCTACTAAGAATTTTTGGAATGGGGAAACAACAGGTCTTCAAAGTAGCCAAACTTCCTTTTTGCTAGCATACCAGAATCATGTTTACCTGCAATGCATTAATGCATGTTTGCATTGTAGAAAAATGCAGCTTGTTAATTTTTTTTTTTTTTTAACATTTTGTAGCTAACATGTTTTTTTTGGGCTGTCTATGCAAGAAGAAAGCGTTCCAAAATGCGGCCCACTGCATCCGGTATGAATGGGCCCCTAAAGTGATCATGTCATGTTGTAATTAATATACTTCTGTAATAGAGGAGAGCAGGAAGTTATAGATGGTGATTCACACCAGCAGCCATGCTGAACGCACAGCAGCTGGTATGTACCGGCAGGAAAAATGCTCAAGCGTCAATCTGTTGCACTGTTTACTTTTTTTGCGCTTAAAAAAGGACTGCGTGTAGCGCAACGCAGTGGTGTGAACTGTCACCTTAGGAAACTGGGCGTATTGCCTTGTCTTTGAGTTGGGATTGCGATGGGCAATGCTTATAAAGTGAATGGGCCCTAAAGCATATCCAAACCCAAGATCAAAAATTCATAGCATTGCAGCTTACTAATCCTTAGATGCAAGACTGCTGTCAGAAACCATAAAGCACCATACAAACAACCTGACAGGCCCCCCCCCCCCAAAAAAAAAACACAGTTTGCTATGTTTCCATTATGAATGAACACAGTGAGTGATCACTATTGATTGATCACTGTGTTCATTCAGGGGGGGAAAGGGGCTGGTAAATGTGACATATTTACAGGACCCTTCCCCTACTCTCTATCCTGGAGGATTCTATTGTGTGCTTGCAGCTGCTGATGGGAAGGAGAGG